TTGGTGTGTGTTGTGTGGGGGGGAGGGAGAGAGAAGAAGAGAGAGAGAGAGAGAGAGAGAGAGAGAGAGAGAGAGACTTGACTTGACCATGTTTCATGTTTTGTAAAAGAAGGAAAAATGAAAACTGCAGAAGGGCCCTGAGTGTCTGCTGGGAATGGGGTAGGATGTTGGGTGAGACAGTCAGCAACACTGGAAGATGATAAGGTTCTGTTCAAGGATGTAGCATATTTGTTTGTGATTCAGCCCAGTCTTTGCCTTGAAAGTGGTGCATGGCTTCCTGGATCCACAGAGCTTTGTGGGCCCTGGAAACCACATTGTTGAGAGTTAACGATGCTAGCTGGAGTGGAACAAGCCCAGAGTTGGTGTCAGTGATCTAGAATTATATTCTTGCCATTCCAATAGAATAACTTTCAGCAAATCAGATATTTTCTCTAGACCTTGTTTTTGAAACAGAGTTTCTCTGTGTGACAGTCCTGGCTGTCCTGAAACTCACTTTGTAGACGAGGCTGTTCTCAAACTTGCAGACATCAGGCTACCTCCTGCCTCCCAAGTGCTGGAATTAAAGGTGTGCACCACCATTACCCAGCAGGCTCTGACTTCTTGAGGTGTATGATAATAGGGACACAAAGATGACATATAAGGACATTCAGCCGTGGGTTTGTCTGTGAATCCACTTCAAGGAAGGCATGGGAAAAGGGAATAGAGGAGAAAGACCTTCACTGTGGGAGTGTGCAACAGGCTCTGGAAGGCTTTCTGGGGACAAGGCCCCTGATGATGGAGCATGAAGCTTCTTCGTTAGCGACTTTCAGAGTCACAGAAGCCAACATCAAGAGGAGGAGGAGGGAAAAAGAAAGGAAGAGGGGAAATCTTCTGGTTCATATAACTGAAAGGTCATTCTCAAATGCTTCAATATGGTTCCTTGTCAGAGTTCAGCACTGGGATGCGGCACCCACCTCAGCCCTCATCTTTCCATTCTGCTTTCCTTGATGATTGGCAGCACTGCTCTCCTGTCCCCAGCATGTTCTCCACAAGACCAAAGCTGGCAGATCTGGCCCTGCAAACAACAGCTCAACCATCACAAAAGAGGAAAACTTATTCTTATTCTAATGTTTAGTAAGATCTTCAGCTCAAATGTTAACAGGCTGACCAAGGACACATCTCATTTTAAAGATATTGCTATGGCCCAGGATCTAGACCTTTGATGAGTCACATTCCTATTCCTGAAACCAGAGTTGAGGCCAGTCACTCTCAGGCTACTTAGACCATGAATGGAGCAAGTAAATGCGAGCATGTGCGAGCATGTGTGTGTGTGCGCGCGCGCACACACACACACACACACACACACACACACAGGTGCATACAGAAACAAAACCTCAACAATAACAGTTATAAGGGCCGATGGGTATTGGGTGATCTGGTAGTAACAGCTGTTCCTAACACAATGACAATGGGTAACCCTAATGGGTAAGGTGGAGTATAGAATGTGACCCTCCTTGCCTCCTTTGACTACAGTGTGTGGTCTCCCCAAGTTCTCCCGGAAGCACATCTCCAGGATCTTCAATGGACGCCCATCCCAGAAGGGTACCACTCCATGGATTGCCATGCTGTCACACCTGAATGGGCAACCCTTCTGTGGGGGTAGCCTTTTAGGTAAGGAGAGGGTGAAGGGGTGAAGACCCAGGGCTGGGGACAGGGTGAAAACTAAGGACCAACCTTCCCTTGAAAACTGGCCAGTTCTTTATTGAGAATAACTGCCCCAGAAAGACAGTGTAGAAGAGCAGAAGAGAGAACCTTCAGCTAGAACCAAGACAAGCACGCTCCTGGGCTAATTCCTTGAGCTGTGGAGCACTTCTTGAATTCTGTTCAGTTTCCTGTCGGACGGTTAGACATGGATTGTGACCCATGGCACATACATGTGGCACAGAGGTGGGACATGCCAGAGCTGCCAGATCAGAGAGAACCTGAACACTTACCCATCCCCCCACCACTACCACCACCACCACCTCCCAAAACCCTGCAAATCAGGGAAAGTGAGTTTTAAAGGGCCTTGGCTGTGAACTTGAGAACTTAGTTCAGGTCTTGGATACAGAAGCAGATTTCTAGTCACATCCTGGCCAGTCCAGGACCGGACAGAAGGCACAGGACAGGACCGAGAAAGAAAAAGGAGACGGGGATAAACAGAGAATGACAGAGAAAGACAAAAGGGCAGCACACAAAAGACATAGGACATAAGAGGGAGAGAATAAAGACAGAGTAAGACATAAGTGAGTTACTTGAAGGTAAAATGTTGAAAGCACAGCTGCTGGCTACATCAGCCCCCATGATGTACCTGCTTACTGTGTTTGGTAATGAAGGAAGTAGAACAGAGTGGCTGAACTGGACTCTTCTATACACTCTTGCTCTGTTTCAGCAAGTAAATTGAGATAATCTGTGTAACTAATTCAATTAGTCACTTTCAAACTAACTACTTTCTGCATATTAAATTGACTCCTCCCCCCCCACACACAAAATAAGGTGGTGTGTGACAAGGAGAAGAGAGAATGGTGGGGACAAGACACCCAAGGGAGAAGAAAGAGTCAGGAAAGAAGAAAGGGAGGGAGGAGCCCTGTTGAAAAAAACAGGAGGCAGAGGGATGGAGAGGAAAGGCCACAGGCAGCGCACAGAGGGGGGCGTTTGTCAGGTTTCCAACTTCATTAGCAAGAGTGAAAGATGGACTTCACCCATTGCTTTAAGACTTCGAAGTAGTTTTTTTTCTAACATCAACTTCTTACGTCAATAATACTCATTCTGTGTTTGAAAGCTGAAATTCATTTTATAATCAGCCCCAGCTAGAAGTTCCTTCACACTTGGCCGTCCCCACAGCCCTGCAGATCGGTAACCCCGGCTTCTGCTGTTCTTTGTAGTGGATAGGAGAGAGCAGAGAGATCAGGAAAGGTCTAAGAGACTGAGGGGCAGAACGCTGCCTCTGTGTCCACACTGAGGTTCTGTGGGTCGGGGAGCGCTGCGCAGGCCAGAGCGTACCACCAGACTCACCTAGAGAGCCCTGCTCTGAGGCAGGATTTCCTAACCTGGGTTCCTCAGTCCACATTAGCCACCACTCCAATAATCCCTGGTTCTGGTCAGGTTCAGGATGTATCTAGTGGGAAAAGAGTGTTCTGTGCTGAGATTTGTCCAGAATCAGGAACCAGAACATGTGACCCCTTCTAAGAGCGGCAAGTGGAGTCTGGAAGCTGCTCCAGAGCACCCTTCTGCCTTTGACTCTGAGCTATAGCCTAGACCGCTGATGCTTACGTCCCCTCCCAGCCCTGTCTACAATGATGGTTTTCTGCTTGGCTCTGGTTGGGTGTGTCCAGGCCTTCGCTATTTGTGGACTCGATTTAGTTCTGTCGAAAGGAAGACCAAAAGTTTGACTCTGCATTAAATAGACATGATAAGCATAGTCATCCAGGGAAAACTGACAGCCAAGAAGTACACTAGGCCACTAATCAAGGGACCGTTCTGAAAGGCTGGCTTTGAAGGGTGGTCCTCAGCCCTTATTGCAGCCAAATCACAGGAGGGGCCTTTCATTTATGTGTGGTGGGCCTAACCCTCCAGCTCCAATGACCTGGATGTACTGACGCCATGCCTAATTCCCAAGGTGAATGCAATGTGCAGTTCACCTAGCCAGCTACTCAACATTCTCCTCCATATTTGCCAAGCTTTCGTGTGCACAGGAACTACTTGGGGGTCTTGCTAAAGACATTCTGAGGAACTGCTAATGCTGACAGGTGCTGCTAATGCTGACAGCAGGACCACACCTGCCGGAGTCCAGCTCTAGTGAGGTTCTTGTGCCACAGGAAGGATGTGTAAAGTTGGCAAAAAGAAATAAAGATTCTGACCACCAGATGTCTTTCAAACTGATGGCCCCAACTATCTCAGACCATCTTTAAGTTCTAATGCATTCAAGCATGAGCAGTCTCAAATCATTTTTCTTTAATCATTTTCCAAGAATCAATAACATTTATTTATTTTAGTTTCTCTTCTCCTTTTCCACTCCCTTGGCATCATTGACCTTTACCCCATATCACTGTATTTTAAGCCAAATGTTTATATCTAGCTAGGTACGTCTTATTCATACTGTACCCTAGCTGGCAGCAAACATGTGGCTACAAAGTAAGTGATCGAGCCCTGTGATTAATTCTTAACAATATGAAAACAGCTGAGTATATTGGGATGTCTAGGATATCATTTTCAGGTGTATACCAGTTTTTGAGTAATCTGTATGGCACCTTTATTATATGGATTCCAGTTATAATCCTATTCTTTATAAGTTCTCAAAACAATGATTGGTAGCTAACTCTTTAACTACTGAGACTAAGTTTCTTTGTTTTTACTGGCAATTTCTAAATGTACTTCTTTAAGAGGAATGAGGAGTTTTAGATTCCTTTATTGATACATTGATATTGGAAACATATCTGAGTGTTCATATCCTGGTGCCAGAGAAATGTCTGACCTTTTATGTCCAATTTCTTTCCTTCTGTGTTCCTATAAGGTTTTTGAGGTCATCTTTTAAGAAACCATTTTTTTTTTAATTCTTAAGTTCTTTGGAATATATTTATCTGTTTTTGGAATTAAATAAGCAATAATCATTAACCTTAGTGAGTTCCTCCTGCTTATTCAGGATGCTTGCAGAGGCAGCCAGGGATGCCTGGAGAAACTGGTTTCTATAACAGATCAGAAAAATGTAATTTTTCTATAAAAGCTTTTGTTCCAGTAAACTCTGGCATAATCACAACTAATGAGGCAAAACTAAGAGTTACCATAGAATTAAGCTTAGCAAAAGTTAGAGAAGCCTGAAGCCCATGAGCTCCCTAGGATCAGCACAGGAGCTTTCTGTATTGTATCTATAGGTCCTTGCCAAATGGATAGGATTCTCCCAAGGACCTTGCCTTCTAAGGAGCTCCATTTGCAACACGCCTATGAACCATTCCCAAGAGTGACAGCATTGTTTCTGTCACACACCCAAACAAGCAAAGCTGGAAAGGAAGCCTGTGCTTACGGGACTTTTGAGGACCCACTTTGGGCTAGCTGGCATTCACCCATGCCCCAGGCATTAAGGAAGCCCAGAACACCTATTTAAAATGTCTAGCCTGGAATAGATTGAAATAGGGAGTTAGAACCACAGACTTAATTCCTCATCTTCCCATGGGATCTAAAGTGTCTGACTCAGGGCTGTGAACACAATGGAGGCAGGTTTGGACATTTCAAGCAATGCTCTTGAATAGCAGTAGGGCCCTTAGCTGGACACAGTAGGAGGCCGGATGGGACAATGAAGGACACAAAATGTGTGTGCTCTGTTCTTCAGGTTCCAACTGGATTTTGACAGCTGCTCACTGCCTCCACCATCAACTAGATCCAGAAGATCCAACCATACACAGCTCATACTTGCTCAGCCCTTCTGACTTCAAAATCATCATGGGTGAGTGAGGGTCAAGACTTCTAAAGCCAGCCGCGGTTCTCAGAACAGAGTCCTCCTGCTACCGTTTTCAAGGCTTTTCTTTATAAAATAAAGACCACCTGCTGGCTCAATTCAGCTCAACACTCAGGCACGGTCTGATTAAGAACTGGCACCTACCCATGGTAGCCATCAGCTTTATAAAACAAAAGCAGAGTCGACTGTAAAAGTGGGCACTACAAGTTTTGAGTCTGGGGAGTTTATAGGGAGATATCTTTTTTGATGCACATCAAGATTTTTACTAGTTAAATTTTTGATTGGGGAATTTAGAAACAATTCTCCTAGAGCTAACTTGTATTACAAATTAGTCTCAGAGGACCAGAAAGATGGCTCTGAAGTTGAGAGCACCTGCCTTTACAGAGGGCCAGACTTCCTTTCCCTCATCAGCAGCTCCTGAAGACTTGACACACACTTCTCTCTTCTGACCTCTGCAGGGGCCCATGTGCATGTGCATCACACACACACAGACACACACACACACACACACACACACACACACAGAGAGACAGACACACACACACACACACAGACACACACAGATGTATACACACACAGAGAGAGACACACACAGACAGACAGACAGACACACACACACAGACACACTAAAATGCAATAAAAAACATCTTTTGAAACACCAAAAACATAGCATCAGGAATAAATAGCTCAGAAGTATTTTCAAGTTCTTATTTATTATTTTATTTTTGGAATCAGTTTACAAAGTAATAGTTCCATGTGAGGTTTACATACATACATATTTCATTTTGGCTGGTTCTTCCCCCAGTCCCATTCCACCTCTCATCTTCCTGTCCCCCTTCCCTGCTGTGCCTTTTTACTCCCAGTATTCCTGTACTCCACTTTGCTCTATTATCTTCTCTTCCCCCACCCCTTTAGAGAATCTTTTATTTTTTCTAGTTACATGAGTCCCATTCTAGTTTCCTGGTCTTCACTCACATTTTCCTCTGCCTACACATGCATACTTTAATAGAGGCTAGGATGTACATGAGGGAGAATATACAGCATTTGCTTTTCTCAACTTGGGTTATCTCATAGGAAAAACCTCTAATTAAGCAAGCCACCTATGATGCATACAAGAAAAGGTGGTTATTATCAACTGGACAGTGGCAATGAGCATCAGAGCAAACATTCTCAGTCAATGTGATCATCAGAGGCGGAGCCATGAGAACTTGTGGGGATTGGCAGGTGAACGGGATGGTCGAGGGGGCAGAGACAGAGAGAGGAGGGATTAAGCCTGGAGCAGGGACTAGATGGGACTGGGGTTGGTAGGGAGCAAAGCTCCCCCTTTCCCTCCACTCTGTCTCACACACCTTCCATGGCCCAGGAAAGCACTGGAGGCGCCGCTCAGACGAAGAAGAACAGCACCTGAATGTGAATCGCATTTTCCTGCATCCGCTCTACGACCCCAGCACATTTGAGAACGACCTGGGTCTGGTGGAGCTGTCAGAGAGCCCAAGACTGAATGACTTTGTGATGCCTGTCTGTCTACCTGAGCATCCCTCCAGGGAAGGTACCTGTCTTAGTTAGGGTTACTGTTCTTGTGATGAAACACCTTGACCTGGGGAGGAAAGGGTTTAGTTGTCTTACACTTCCGCATCACTGTTCATCATCCAACGAAGTCAGGGCAGGAACTCTAGGAGGGCAGGAACCTGGAGGCAGGAGTTGATGAAGAGGCCATGGAAGGGTGCTGCTTCCTGCCTTGCTCCCCATGGCTTGCTCAGTCTTCTTTCTTATAGAACCCAGGACCACCAACCCAGGGATGGCACCACCCACATGGGCTGGGCCTTCCACATCAGTCACTAGTTTAACAGATGCTCTACAGACTTGTGTGCAGCCAGATCTTATAGAGGCAATCTCTCAGTTGAGACTCCCTCCTCTCAGATAACTCTACCTTGTGTCAAAGTTGGTATAACAACCAGCCAGCACAGCATCTCTCTCCCGGCTGCTCCTCTGTAGTGTGTCTGTGGCTAAGGCAAGGTGTTCTTCTCCAGCACTGATGAGGCTCATCTCACAGAGTGTGCGTCCCCTAAAACAACAAAATCAGTACTAATTCCATGGTGGCACAAAAAGTATTAGGCACGAGTAAACCAGCGTGCTTGTTTTTCCACATAGGAACATAAAAACCAGCCAGGCAATTTTAATAGAAAACTTAACAAAGTTTGGATGAACTAAACAAGTAAAGGGAAAACTCTGGAAAAGGAGAGACATGCCTATAGGAAGAAACTGCATACAGCCTGGCAGGGAAGGGACCGGTAAGAAGCCCAGATTATGGAGCCTAGAAGAGTAGAAAGTGCCCCCCTTTTCTGGAAACCCCATCAGTCAAGAGAACCTGCCATTCCATGTTGTCACCCCAGAATCACCAAGGATGACTGGGGGTGTGGCTCAGGCTGGCCACAGAGCTCTGTAATGGCATGTTTGTCTCTTGTATGCACTGGACCCTAACTTCAAACCCCAGCACTACACAACCAACAGTGGAAGGACAGATTCTGTCACAATGCTGGCTTTCCTGGTGAGTCATCTTGAGGATGCTGCCAGCCTCATTAAGCCTAAGTCCATTACCTCTAAACTGGACACGAAACCCCATCAGGCTTGCTGTGTTATTAAAATGAAATATTGTAAACAGAATATATCCAACTGAGAACAGGAGGCCAGCCCAGGCCAGCTGGCCTCCTTTTCATTGGAATTCAGTGTGTCATATCCTCACTCATTTCCTGAAGCTTAAAGATGTTGCAAAAGAAAATGCTGGAATCTGAGAAGTGTTTAAGAGAAGTGAGCCCACAGGAAATGTGTAGGTAAGGCTGGCTGATTAACCAGGCACTAGGCACTTGGCGGGTACCAACTGCCTGGCATTCACTAACTTACTCTACTCCTCCTGGAAACCTTGCACAACATTCTGATGTGACATATAACCATGCCCATAGATTACAGAGGTGACAGATGCCTACGGGAAGACTGTCTTGTGGACACAACAAGCAGCTGCACATGTGAATTCACAGCATTGTGACAGCATGCACAAGACCTGTGCAAGCCCAAAGCCAGACAAAGTCTCAGCATAGAGAGGGGAGTACGCCACAGCTGAGGAGATACAGGCGATTGATGGCTTCTGAGAAAGGGAGAGTCAGTTTTTCTTAAGGGTGTGGCCTCTATTGGGTCAACCACACTCCAGTGTAAGGTCACACAGCCAAATATAGATCGCACAGACTAGATTTCTCGAATGAAAGAAAAGAGAAAGGAGGAGAGGTCACAAAGTTGAGTGGGTAGGAAAGGTGGGTAGATCTAGGTTGAGATGGAAAGAAAGGGATGAATATGATCAAAATACATTGTCCACACCTATCAAAGAACTAAGAAAATGCAAAAAAAAGGGGGGGGGGAAGAAAGGAAGGAAGGAAGGAAGGAAGGAAGGAATACACAATGGAAAGAAGGAAAGAAAGGAAGAAAGAATAAAATGCAAAAAAGGAAAGAAGGAAAAATGAAAGAAAGAGAGAAGGAAGGACTAATAAAATACAAAAAGGAAGGAAAAAATGAAAAGAAGAAAGGACCAATAAAATGCAAAAAAGAAGGAAGAAAGGGAAAAAGAAAAACTACAAAAAGGAAGGAAAGAAAGGAAGAAATGAAGAAGGGAAAAGAGGGAACTAATAAAATTCAAAAAGGAAGGAAAGAAGAGAAGAGAGAGGCTGAGGTTCAGCACTGTCATTAGAAGCAGATGTGGGAGTAGAGCTGAACTTCTTTGAATTTAAACACAGTGCTGTTTTCAGTATCCAAGGCTCCTTATTAAATAAAAATGCAATTGCTCTCTGTACCCTCAGCACATTTCTGCATTGTCCCCAGATCTGTGACTTCATAAGCTTATGGAATGCCAGGGCTGGTTTCCAGGCAAGGCCAGCCTCTCCATTTTAGGGATATGGAGTTTGAAAGAGAGGCAAGGGGAGAAAAACATACCCTGACCTGTAGTTGGCTAGGCTGGGCACTTTGGTTATTCATAGTCATTGACCGAGCACCTCCTTCCTCCATCCTAACACTACTGTGGACATGAGGGTACAATAGGGAACTCGGTGGGTGAAATCACAGCTCTCCCTGAGCCTCAAGTCTTTGCTGGCTGCCAGGAAGGTGAAGCGACTAAAGAAACCAGGTAGTAAATCACAGGATCAAATGCCACCCCACTCAGCAGCCCCTCCCCTCTTTCTTCCCTGTTGCCTTTCTCTGAGGTAGCAACTTCAGTTTCCCTCCTCCCCCAGCAGAGGATGACAGTTGCCAGGGTCAATATTCAGCGCAGTCCACACAGCCTTTCTCCTCACAGTGTCTTCTCTTCTCCAGGAACCATGGTCATTGTCAGCGGCTGGGGCAAGCAGTTCTTACAGAGCTTTCCGGAGATCCTGATGGAGGTGGGATCCAATTTATAGTCTACAAGCCATGACACCCAGCCTGTGCATGCAGTCCTCCTGTTGTATGCTGCCTGCTCTGGGATTTGGAAGATTTGGAGGAGAAGGGAAATGATAAGAGACAAGACAGGGGCCAGACTCAAACTCCAAAATTTAGTGGGACTCAAAGTCCCAGAAAGTTTGTTATGTTTAACTGGACATGGGCTCCAGTCTCTAAACACCATTCTATGTCCCTGACAGCTTGTAAAAAGTCTCAGAAGATGGAAATCCTCCCAGAACACAGCAAGTGTGTGTACCCAGCAGGCTCATGATTCATCTGCACACATGAAGACTGCATACCAAATTAGCAAGAATGGGCCAGGCTCCGAGAAACACAGTTCTTTCAGAAGTGGGCTTGACCACTGCATTTGAAAGTCACACCCCTATCATTTCTGACCAGAGAACTGAACTTGACCTAATGATCTATAGTTCCAAATCTGGAACTCTAGTGACTTCTTTAGTCACCTCAAAGAAGTCATTTTAGCCTTCTAGCTTATACCGGATAGGAGATAGCATCAAACTTACTAGATTTCTTCTATAACCACCTGGCTGACATTATTGGGTGTCTATTATGGGGCTTGGTTCTAATCCTTCAACACATTGAAGTCCTTGGTCAGGATATTCGGTATTTTTATCACAGTCTAAAGTTTTGAATGTGTAGCAATCATCTATGGCTTCATTCATGATTCCCAGGTGGTTACTCACTGTCTCCTGTGAACTAGCTAGTAAGCGTGCCACGGAGAAGAGCAGGCAAAAGGGAGTGCTCTAGTCCCTAGGCTCCTTGTGTCTATGGTCAAGTGGGATGGACAGGAAGTAGCTATGGGTATGGTCAAGGTGATGAAGAAGTGCAAGATGCTCTAGGGTGTACAAGGGAGATCTGGCCCCATCTTGGAGGCTCGAAGATGACTTCCCAAAGGGTACTTTTAAATGGTGCCTGAATGATGGGTTGTAGTTAATCAGGGACTCCAGCATATGCTGAAAACATGTCCTTGTGACATGGCTTACTGCCCCCACTTTCCTACGAAGACCATAGCCCAAGAAGAGTCTGCATGGACTATAGTTCCCTTGTAACAAGAACTCACAGAGGGCATGTGCTTGGGGCACATGGTCCATTCAGTTCTTGCAGTGAGGAGAAATGAGAATTATCTATAAAGCTGTCAAGGACCTAGTATTTGAGGGGTGGACAAATGAATCAACAGTTAAAAGCCCTGGTTGATCATCCAGAGGACCCAGGTTCAATTCCTAATACCCATATGTTGGCTCGAAATTGTAACTACAGTTTCAAAGAATCTAATAACTTCTTCTTTCTTCCAAAGGTACCAGGTATGTATGTGGCACACAAACGTACAAGCAGGCAAAACCCCACATGCATTAAAAATAATAACACTCTTAACCTAAAAAGATACCTAGTATCCATATACAGTGTGTAGTAACTATACACTGTCAAAGCACATGGTCATTCATTTCCTCTGTGGAACTTCCTGTGATTAGTTTATCAAACACTGTGAAGTCCATCTTGGAGATTAGGTGTGAGAGTCTCAATAATATAGGAAAGAGAGATAAAGCCACATACACCAGGTTCCAGAGCAGGGATGGAGGAAACATATGCAAACTGACATGGCTTTTCTACACATTGTCATATTTGAAGCTGGTATGTGCTAGGCGAGTATTATTGTCTCCGTAACAGGCAAAGCTGCTTGGTCAAGGTCACAGAGCAGCTCTGTAGCCGAGGCTATAGCAAATGAGTCTCCAATTCTCCATTCAGTCGTGCCTTTACCTGTACCACACGGCAGTTCCTAAAACCAAGCGTAAAGGAGCTGGAGGCCTGCTCAAAGCTGTCAGACAGCAAGGTCGCTGAATCTGGGAGTGGGAACCAATGATAGTCTTGTGTTCCAGATTGAAATTCCAACTGTAAACCATGACACTTGCCAGAAGGCCTACACCCCACTGAAGAAGAAAGTGACCAAGGACATGATATGTGCTGGAGAGAGGGAAGGTAAGACAAGAAACTGACTCAAATATAGGTGCTGAGAATCTGGGGTGGACACAGAAGAGGGAGGGATGGCAGGCTAGGGGTGGGGGGAGACACAGAACTTTCAGCATCTCCTTCGGGAACCAGCTTAGTTTTGGATAAAATGGTCTACTACACCCTCTAGTGCCCGATTGTCTGAACTACAAGTCAGACCCAGGTTTGCCCGGGGTAAGGGGTTTTATCTGTACCTCCCTTTCATCTAGGGGGTAAAGACTCCTGTGCTGGTGACTCTGGAGGCCCCATGGTGACCAAAGATGAAGGAAGAGATCAATGGTACCTGGTGGGCGTGGTGTCCTGGGGCGAGGATTGTGGGAAGAAAGATCGCTATGGAGTATATTCTTACATCTATCCCAACAAGGATTGGATCCAGAGAGTCACTGGGGTGAGGAACTGAGTTTGGCTCTCCCCAGCCAAGCACCCTCTGTGTGGTCAGTCACCAACAGAAGATGATGAGTGGATACCAGCAACATTTCCTCCCCTGGCCCTCAATCTTCACTGCCCATTCCTGGGTTACAATGGGATTCCTCCAGCCCCTTCTCCCTGCTCTTGATAGAGGCAAAGCAGCAGAGTGGTCAGAACAAAAGGCCAGCTGACCACCTCTTGAAGCCTATTTCTTCAACCATGAAATCCAACGTGGCTTTACCTTATCTACCTCACAAAAGTATGATGAGGAGAAAGCTAATCTATGCATAGGACTTATGCCTGTGTGTGAACTAAACCATGTGTTCCTTACTTGTGACTTAGGAAAAGGGCATCTGTCCTCCAGGCAGGTGGAGTTCTCTTATAAGCTCCTGCTTGAGTCTCAGGGATGATTAGGGACACGCCCCTCCTCCCACCTGCTGTCATTTTCTTAATCTGCACCCTAAACTCTAAGCTTCTTCACCAAATGCAGCCTCAATCTCCCATAAGAAGGTAAAAGAAATAAAGTTCTTAGCCCTAAGGCATGACTCTGCTCACACACCCAGAAATGTGAGTAAAGCAGTTGAGCTCAGTACCAAATGGTAAGAGTGACTCTGGGGAGCTGGGAGGGGAGTGACTGAGGAATCAGGGGATGGAAGGAAATTTGGTGGATTGTGATGTCAGACACCAACCCCATCTCTCATGTGTCCCTCTACAAGTCCCTTTTCTTCATTTTAAGGACCTTGCAAGCACTGACATTCTAGAATCCAGCAAAGTCATGTTTTCTAAGATGGGTTAGACTCAAAGTTACCCCTAAGGAAAATGTTCATTAGGTTCAAACAACAAAATTCTCCCGCTGCCCCAGCAATACCCACCTTGGTCCACCACACCCAGGTCCCAAAGGACATAACCAAGGTCAAGAGCATCCAAGGATCTTCCCTTTACTCTAAGAGGAGTAGCTTCCCTGCCTCCCCATCCCCTTCTCACCTCCAAACATGGTCTGTCCAAAGCAGGCCCTGGCAGGCTAGGTCTCAAGCAGCTGCTCTCCCCATCATCCCAGCTGACCTTAAGCAGCCATCTCTCTCGGTCCTGCCCCTTTGTCTCATGCATCTGAGACACTTCCTCTTTGAAGAACCTTCTAGAGGCCTCACCCAATACAAGATTTTCAAATGAAAATCAAAGCCCAGCCCTGACTTTCTGTGTATAAGAATTGTTGCTCACAGAAGGCTTTGGCCCTTGAGCTGTGTTGCTGCTGCTAGAGCCTAGGTGTGTCTCCGGTGAAAGAGGAAAACAGTGGGGAATGAGGACTTGTGGGCATTAAGGCCAAGGCTGCACACTCAGGGACAATTCACAGCCTGCTTCCGTTCCTCTGAGTAAGTCTACCTCTAAGGGTTTTGCTCTTGTCTTGACTCTACAAGGAGATGACACTTGAACCCAATAATCTGATACTTCTCAAGCAATCTGGTACTCTATTATGCTATCTGGCTGACACAAGCAGCCAGATAGCATCTGATAGCATCAGAGAGGAAGGAGCCTCAGTTGAGGAAATACCTCCATGAGAGGTATTTCTTAATTAGTGATCAATAGAGGAGGGCCCAGCCCATGATGGGTTGAGCCATCCCTGAGCAGGTAGTCCTGGGATATATAAGAAAGCAGGCTGAACAAGCCAGGGTGAGCAAGTCAGTAAACAGTACCCCTCCATGGCCTCTGCATCAGCTCCTGCCTCCAGAATCCTACCCTACTTGAGTTCCTGTCCTGACTTCCTCCAATGATGGACTATGATCTGGAAGTGTAAACTGAACAAATCCTTTCCTCCCCTTTTTGGTCATGGTGTTTCATCACAGCAATAGAAACCCTAAGACATCTACTTTCATTCCTGATGAAGACTTGAGATACAGTTTTGAAACTGCTTCAAGGCAATGAGCCTTCCCATTGCCAGCACTTCCTGAACAGTGTGCTGTTCCAGGTCATGCTGATTGCTGTATCAGGACTGACACAGTGAGAAGAGTATGGACCATGACTTCCAGGAGCCCCCAATGGAGCTGTGACACATATGTGACTGCCGTATGGGGATGATCCCTGAGGAGTCTATTTTAGAGATATGGAGACAGAAGAAAGCCTGCCTTGATATGGAGTTTGAGGAAAGGAAACACCGGGAATCAGTCTAGGGAAGAAGACCTTCAGAAAGTATGCATTTCCACAAGTGAGGCCAAGAAGACTCTGGAAGTCTGTGTCCACTCAGGCTTTCCCCGACAACACCAGGTCCTCCCACAAATATGCTATTTCCAGAAAACCAGCATTTGAGCATGGGAATCAACATCTAAATGGCCTCTGTCTTTAGAATCAGAATACTTAGCGCTTTAAAAAACCTCAGGGTTCTGGCACAGATACCAGCTTCTGGCTGGGTCCAGTTTATCCTGTTTATCCTCCAAATTACAACTTCATCCTTATCTTGAGAAAATAACTAATTGGCCCATGGAACTTCAACCTTGTCCAAGCACTGGTTAGATGATGGTGGTTTGAACATGAATGGCCTCCATAGGCTCATGTATCTGAATGTTTGGTCATCAGGGGATGGCACAAATTGAGAAGGTGTGGCCCTGTTGGTATGGTTGTGGCCTTGTTGGAGTAGGTACAGTCTGTTGGAGGAAGTGTGTCACTTTGGGTGGACTTAGAAGTTGTCAAAAGCCCAAGCTAGGACCAGGGGCTGTCTCTTCCTGCTGCCTGTGGATCCATATGTAAGACTCTTAGCTATTTTTCTGCCTATGTGCCATCATGCTCCCTGCCATGATGAAAATGGGCTAAACCTCTGAAACTGTAAGCAAGCCACAATTAAATGCTTTCGTTTTATAAGAGTTGCCTTGATCATGGTGTCTCTTCAAAGCAATGGAACACTTACTAAGGCAGAAGTCTAACTGCTGTTGTGGTCCAAGAAACCTGATCTCTTTGAACCACAGAAATAGAAAGTTGGTATAACCATGAGGTCTACCTTGTCTAAGTTCGTAATCTAATGCTAACAAACTCGCTACCTTCAAATCCAGCCAGTTCCTAAACAATTCTAAAATGTGCCACCGATAAAAAGGCTTCCAGGCAACAGAGATCTACCTCCCGAGAAATTAATTGTATAAAGAAAACTGTGATTTCATACTGTGAGCACTGTTATTAACAATGATGACAATGCCTGGGATTCATTAGTCAAAGAAGCTGTTGTTCTTATGGGAAACTACACATTCGTTCCAATAAACATCTGCGTTGAGTCAAAAAGCCCTGCTTGGCTTGTATGCTTCTTCATGCACTGATGAGTCTGGTAAGTTGTTTACATGTTTCAAAAATGTGTTCTATTCGATTAGGATCACTGTACCATGAAGGGATAGAAACTGATGGGAAGGTTGAGTTATAGATACAAAAGCATGTCTCGGGTTTTATTGATTCGTCCTGTCTAAAAGCCCTACACAATTGTCCCTGACAATTATCAAGATACCATAAAGCCGAGGTCTCAGCACATAAATTACATTACTTGAATACCACCCACATACAGATTAGAAAGGTTTATTTTTTTTCAGTTTCTGTGTTCAATGCCTGCTTCAGAGAATATCAAAGCATGCTTACACTGGTATATTCAAGATTGGAATACGTACCTTCTTTCTGCTTTAGTTAATCTTTTCTACAAAGGCATACAAAACAAAACAAAAATAAACCAAAATAAAACCTACCTAAGACACTTCAAACAAGTGGTAGGCAAGATTCAGGGAGCCAAAACCAGGATCACTCACATACAGAGGTAGAGCAAATCTCAGTCTAGGATGGGCCTTGAAACCAAGAGGTGAGATCTGAAACAGTGAAGGCTGACTTAAGTCTATTCATTAAACAACAACAACAACAACAACAAAAACATATTGCTTGCTTCCCTTGTTTGAGATTATTGAATCCATGAATTGGCAGATAAGAAAAAATGAGAAATTATAAACTTAGCTCAAATATACCAAAGCTTTTACACACTCTCTCTAATTGAGCCCCAATGACAACCTGTGATGAAATTCCTCCTCCAATCCCCATTCAGCTACTGCAATGGATCCTAGAAGCAGAAACTCCACACAGCCACAAACACACCAGAGCCCCGGATCTTGGTGTATCATGTAATTCTCCAAGGCCCCACTGAAGGAGCCCTCATTGAAGTTGGTTCTAGAACTGGGGCATAAAATGTACAAGATGAGCCTAGAGCATCTTGTAGTTAGTGCCAGAAAGTAAGGAAACATTCAAAAACCTCCTCAATGATGGGGACATGTCCAAGAGGCAAAGAGCCAACACAAAGAGCCCCAGTGGACAAAGCTGGAACAACTTGAGCCACAAAACAAAGTTGTATTGAATAATAATCCAAAATATAAAACAAGTAACCACAAGTACATATTTTATGAATAAATTGTTTAATGAATACATAAATTGTGAGAGGAGACAAGCCTGCTGTGAAGAAACTTGCCCATCCCTTAAGGGTGAGCAGTACGTAATAGTCTTCTTCCAGAAAGCGTACTCTGGGGCTGGGTGTAGCTCAGTGGAAGAGCACTTGCCCAGCATGCACAAGGCATCAGGTTCAATCCCCCACCATACACACAGAAGAAAAAGTGCAGTACAGGAAGAAGGAAAGAGTAACTCCACAGTGCAGACACCAGCTGACCCTACCTCAGTCAGGAAGTGGAGGTTACTCTCAACAGTATGAAGCCATAGTGAGACTGAACATGGCTATGCATCTCTCCATTCTTCTCCACAAACTCTACAACTCCTGTCTAGCTGTGAGGGATGTGTCAGACATGTTACAACAGAAGAATATTCTACAAAATATGTGGCCAATGCTCCACAAACTATTCAGGTCATCATAAAAGGGGAGGGATGTCATTTTAAAAAGAAGTCACTGTCAACAGAAGCTCAGAATGGGTTCTACTGTGCCTCACAACACATTGATACTCTAAACCCAAGTACTTCCACATGTGAATTATTTAG